TCAACCTCACAAACACTCAGCCCCCCCCCCTTTCGGTTGGGTTTTCAGGGGGACAATTATTTGAGGGGGTTCACACCCACAGATTGGGCGGAACCTTCATTTTTCCTTCCCCGCAAAACGTTTATATTTTTAAACAAAGGTGCGTGTGCGCGTGTGGTCCCCACCCCTGTTTTTGTCCACACAAGTTGGCCTGTGTTTGTTCGTGTGTGTTAGAGCGTTTTTTTTCCCCCCCCCCGGTTTCTTGCCAATCGGGGCACCCCATCCTAACGCCGCCAACATTCATGACCCCCACCGTCACCACCGCAGGCCCCACTTTGACCCTGGGGCCCACGGCCCCTTTTTCCCCCCCCTGAGTATCCCCATCTTCCGGCGGTTTGGTCGCCAGCGCCAAGTGGCGCAGGTCAGGGGTGAAGGCGCCTTTTTTTTTCCCGTGGTCGGTCGGGAAAGGGAGGCAGTGGGGGGGTGGGTGTGTGTGTGTGTGTGTGTGTGTGTGTGTGTGTGTGTGTGTGTGTGTGTGTGTGTGTGTGTGTGTGTGTGTGGTGTGTGTGTGTGTGTGGGCTTTGTGTTTGTGTGTGGTGCCCCTGCGCGTGTGCGCGTGCGCGCCTACTTAAGCTCCTTTCTCAATCTAGTGCCCCCCCCCCGGCCACACACACAGTCCGGCTACGAGGTGAGCGACTTTATCAATTTCGTTTGGCAATGGGACCCAATGACCAACATCCAACACAACCATTACACCAACGCGCGCAACGGCTTTCTCGACCTCAACTACAGGTAGGCACCACCATTGTCTGAGTGCATGCGTGCATGCATGCATGGTGTTCCTCGCTCCACACCACTACACACATACAAACACATACACACATACCACTACACACACACGCACACATACCACGACATGCACCCACGCACACACATATGCACACACATGCACACATACACATGCACACACATACACATACAAATACACACACACACACACATCCCCTCACCATCCCCCACCTCCCCAAACACACCATCAGGTGCATCCACAGCGATGTGACGTCGCGGTTGTCTGAGATGTCCATGGTGGAGCGCGTACCGGACGAGCCGCAGACGCACGCGGCGCTGATCTTGGCGCACCTCGGGCTTGCCTTCTGGCACGAGTTCTGCTTCGTCAGCGGCGCAGACGTGAGTGCAGCCACGCATCCCATGCAGCTGCCACGTGACAGTGTCACCTCAAACTTCACGTGCGACCGCTGGCTCTCCTTGCCAGAGGCGCTTGGCATGCAGCCGTTTATGCCCAGCAGCGGCATTGTGTTCCGCAGCAACTTTGGCATCTTGCAGTCTGCGCCCTTCAACCTGACGGCTGCGGACGAGCTGCGGCGCATCTGGGATGAGCCCCTCAAGTCGCTGCCGTGGGAGCGCGTGACCAAGCTGGCAGAGGGTACGGTGGAGACAAAGTGCCTGGAGCGGCGCCATGCGATTGCCGTCATCTCGGGCCTTGATCCTGACAAGGTGCCGGGTCACCTCCGCCTGCTGCGCAACCTGCGCCACCTCTCATCGCTCGTACTGGAAGAGACGGTTCTGGCGAACACCATCAAGGACGTGACGCGAACGCAGCTCTGGATTCTGCTGAAGACACGCCCCCTGAAGCAGACGCCAGTGCCACTGCGCTCGTTTGCAGCGTTGCTGGACGACGTTGTGGAGCAAGTGCGCGCGCATAACGCGCAGGGCAGCGGCCGCTTCCTGAAGGTGCAGTACCTCTCGGCAGAGGGCGACGCCTCGGAGCAGCACGTGTTGTGGACGGCGGGCTTGAAAGTGCGCGGCGTGCGCCACTACCGCGTCACTCTGCAGGAGCTTGAGGATGCACTCAGACCCGAGTGGTGATTGTGTGCGTGTGCGTTTGACTGTGCGTGCGTGTGCGTGCGTGTGCGTGCGTGTGTTTAACCGTGCGATTTCGTTCGTCCCCTTCTTGTGCACACCATGTTCACTTTCCTTCTTGCCTAGATGATGACCTAGTTGACAGTTACGTTACTTGCAGACATTACAGAGCCAACACCAAGCACAGTGCCCATTCCAGTGACGAGCACACTCGAATGCGAGCAAGCGCGCACACACACGCACGCACACACACACACACACGCACGCACACACACACACACACGCACACACACACACACACACACACACACACACACACACACACACACACACACACACACACACACGCACGCACACACGCCACTCTCACCCTCCCCCCCCCCACACACACCCATCCACCCCACCCCCACCCATCCCCACACATTACGCAATGCACACCACCCCCCCCCCCCACCCCCAAATCCTCACAGCGACTTCAACGCAGCCTTGTTCTTCTGATTTGCTTTGATAGTTGAACCAGACACTTCCATGTCTGGCGCCGAAAGTTCCATTGCATCATCGTCAAGGTGCAGCGCCTGCAACTCGTCTTGCACAGTTGCCGCCATGGTGACGGGCTTCTTGTGCTTCTGGCTGGCGTTGCCACTGCCGTGCCCAAAGTGCAGGTTCAGAGCTTGCGCGGCCTTGAAGGGCATTGTTGACGCTCGTCGGAAGTTGTGCAAACACAAAAACACAGACGGGAGCACGTGGTGCAGCTTGCGATACAGTGTCTCCTTGCACAGCGCCTGCGTGGTCTCATCCAGCAAGCCAGCTTGACGCAGCACTTCCACAGAGCACCATGGTGGGGTGTCGTACACAAGGTCGTGCATGCATTGAAACAGCCCTGGCACGTCATCGCTGTAGTCACACGCATCGCCACAGGTGCTGCTGCTGCAGTCGCCGTCACTGTGCTCCATGGCATGCATCAGCGCTGGCATTCCTTGGCGTAGCACAGCCTTCCATTTGTCAGTGAACTTGTCATGTCCTCCACCGACACCAGTGTGCGCCAACCAATACCCACCCGTCCACTGGCTGAGGAACTTGCCGATGGCGTTCCTCTTGTCGGCGCTTAGCTGCTGCCACTCATCACTTGTGCACTGCTGTTTCTTCACTCGCACCTGGCTCAACTGCAGCGCAGGCAACAAGCAGCGCGCCACCACGTCGCTCGGGTCATGGTCCTGGAACAGGAAGACGCCGCCGCCTTCTGCTGTGCGGAGGTAATCATCCGCGCTCACGCGTTGTGCCGGTGACTCGCATGTAAGCCGCACAACGGCGTCCTTGGCCGCTTCCTGAAACGCCGCCTCTGCACCCTCGTTGACAACGCCAGCCATGGTGCTGGTGGTGGTACTGGTGGTACTGTCACCGCTGCTGGTGGTGTCACCGCTGCTGGTGGTGGTGGTGGTGCTGACATTGCCACGCATGCGGATGAATGCAATCACCTGGCCAAACGCAAACATGTCTGCTGGCTTTGACCTTTGGCGGTGATGTGGGGCAACAGCACGCTGCTCTGGTGCCAGCCACTCCTGACCACAATCCATGCACCCAACACCCAGCCCGTATGCAGCCAGCTTTGCACGGTACACGCTGCTGCTGGGTACGCTCGCCCCAACCTCCTGCGGACAGCACAGCACGTGATGTGGGCACAGGCTGCCGTGCGTGAGCTGACGCGAGTGCAGGAAGTGCAGTCCGTGAGTGATGTCACGGATGAGAGAGCGCAGCGCCGCGTGATCAAGGGAGGACAAGATATCCGGCGACAACGGGCGCGAGTGACATGGCACACGCGCTGGCAGGAAGGAAATGTTGAGGCTGCTGTCGTGCTGAACACCCTGGTAGCGAAGGAGGGCATCAGGCAGTACCGTGCCACTTGCAGGTAGCTGCAGTGCGCTGCTTGGTTGCATAATTGCCCACACAGCCACCTGAGTGCTGGAAGCTGTCGCATGAGAGGGCGCATGCGTGCCACCTGCCGTGCCTTCAGCATCAGACATGCTGCCTTCGTACACGTGCTTACCAAAGAGCCCACCCATAAACTGCAACGACGAAACCCGTATGCCATCGAGGACATGTGGCGCACCACGCGGCCACGTGGGTTGCGGTGTGGAGGTCGTTGGCAGTTGCTCCGTCACGAAGCGCGGGTCTGTTGCCATGGAGAACGCATAACGCCTGTTGCGGGTTTTGTCAACACGATGCACGAGCGCCTCATGGTACGCGGCCGACACAGGATCCGAGTCACTCGCACTGGGTGGCGGCGGCAAGACAATGTCAGAGTACACCGTCGTGGGTGCGGGAAACGTGCGCAGGCCGCGCTGGAACAAGGGCTGGGTGACTGCCAGAGGATCTGTTGCGGCAGCTGTGACCAAACAGCGCTTCTCGAATGAGGTTGTGCCTATCGACTCCTCCACAACATCAACCGCAACAAGCACAGCCAAGTGGAGAACCAGTGGGTTGTCGCCCACCACGATGATGTCCAGGCCCTGCCGATGCTCGTCGTCATCCGTGCACACCGCCAGGCAATTGGTGTCGTTGATTTGGGCCACAAACATGCCCAAGCTGAGGTGGATGGGCACGCCTCGAATGGCGTTCACAATCGGAAACAGCCGTCTCACAATCGCTGACCAGCACGTGGGCGGCAGCCACTCGTTCGCCTTTGTGCACTGCAGGCGCCGTCCAAAGATGACGCTCGCCTCACTGCCAAGCAGCTCGTTCATCCTGGCTCTGATGGTCGGGTGAGGATCTTGGCGAGGAAGGAGGGCGGGAAACGTGAAGCGCCCGTCACCCAGTGCAAAGCACACGTCAAAGGAAGCGAGGAATGGCAGCAAATCGTCCTGCGCGTGCTGTGGGATGCGAATGCTTCGTTTTTCCAGCGCGTTTACGGCTTGCAGTACAGATACGCCAGGCACGAAGATCGCTGTGCTTGCTGTGCCCGCCTGCGCAGTCGTCAGCCTCAAGCCGTGCAGCGGGTGCAGCAGCGCCGCCATCAGCTTGCTTAGCCAGGTCACCGGCTCCAGCACACACCGGTCCTCGTCATCGGGAATGCGCCGCACCACACCCGCATCATCCAAGAACCTCAAAATGAGGTCGGGGTCTTTGTCTCGAAAGTCAATCTCGGACACACTGATGATGGGCCACACCTGGTGCTGCTCCATTTTCATGCTCTGCACACAGTTCTTGATGCTCAAATAGGCGGTAGGGACTTGGACGTAGGGCACACCTTCCCTTCGCAGTGTTGCGAGTTCTTCATCCAGGGCAACAAGGCCGTTATCGGCGCCTGCATCACCAATGTCTTGTTCATCGTAGCGTGGGGCAAAACAGCAGTGACCAAGATGAAACTCGCTTCCAACCCGCTCTTGCACAACAGCGTGGAGGTGCTGGAGCTCAAAATCAAAGGATGGCAAGTCTGTCTTGGTGGCGACCAGCCGCACTTGCACGGCTTCGGCTTGCTTGTGTCGAGAGAGGCGGCATGCTTGCAGCAGGCCGAGCCATACGCTGATGCGGGCGATGGAATGCTCCAGCCCTTTTGAGGCATCAAACACAAGGAGGTACACGGCCATGTGCGAGGCCATGAAGAGCTGGTGGGCCGGGAAGAACTCCAGCTGGCCAGCGAAATCCCACAAGTCAAACGCGTGCTTGATCCAGTGGTCCACGTCAATGCCTTCCGTCCACACGTGCGGCATGTGCAAGAGCTGCTGGAAAGGGCTACCGCTGTCTTTGGACGAAGACAATTTGCTACCTTTGCTGAGGAGAAAGTGCTTTGCCTGAAGCATGCGCTGCACAACGTCCTCAGAGGCAGGCGTGTTTGCACTGCCAAACCACTGCTGCAGTTTCTCATCGGTGGATTTCAACCACAGCTTTCCCGTGATGCCCTTGGCCCTCGGGCACTCCTCGTCAAAGAACCCGTCCCTGTGCGCCAGATCGTGATCCACCCACTGGCGGAAGTCGGCCTCTGTGTATTTCTGAAACGAGGACTTGAGCGTCGAGCGCACTTCCTTCAGCACGTCAAACCGATCTATGTCGTGCAACATCAGCAGCGCCGTCTTGAGCGTGGTCTTGCCAACACCACCATCCCCAATGAACACGAGGCGGGAACGTGTGAGAAGCTCGTGGTTTTCCTGCACATCGCGCAGGTAGGCGTAGGTCGCTGGCAGGCCAGCCTTGACGATGGACGGAGGCGGGCAGATGATGGGGTTGCGCGAGACGTCGAGCGCCCGAACATGCGCTGTCTCCAGGAACTCCGGACAGAGGTGGGTGATGCCGTTGGAGGACATCCTTCACCAAGCAGGTGCAACACACAGTTGAAAGGCGGTGACCCGGGTAACGTAAGGGAGCATTTGAAGTGCAGGCGCGGCTCATCATGCGGCTCATCCACAAACAAGGCAAGGCGGTCGTGTTTTCGTTGTGGCACCACACCTTAGAGTGCCAAGATGGGCCAGCTGGCCAGCTGCCACGGCGATTGCACGAGCCCCATCTGTTTTGAGGCTCATATCTACGAGACTAGCAGGTGACAGCAAGGCCATGCGCGACGTGCGACGGGCCCAATGAGTGTACGCAGGGGTGCACAACGGAGCGAACAGGACTGATGTACACGTACATAGGCAGATGGGCACACAAAGGCAGATATGCACACAGAGACAGACATGCACACGATCCTATGATGCACGCACGCGTGCAACCACACACACATACACACACGTGCAACCACACAAACACACACACGTGCAACCACACACACACACACGTGCAACCACACACACACACACACATGCAACCACACACACACACACTTCAAGCACTTACTCGAGGGTGTGAAGGCGTGACAAGTTACCAAGGGATTCGGCGAGTACATGGACACCTTGCGGCCCGATGTTTTCATTGTGCGCCAGACTACACACGAGGCAAGTTGACAGGTCGATACAACAGGCGGACCCACCGCACGTGAGTTCCTGCAACACGCGCACACGCACATGTGTAGACACACGTACAGATGCAGACAGGCAAGGGGGCAACGCGGCTTTGCATTGTGCATCGTTGCACAAGGATCGCACTGGAGTGATTCAAGCTGCGTCAACGTCGAAAGCGCTCGTGCCAGTGCACACACCCCTTCATATCCGATGTGGTTGCTTGCCAAGCTGCAACATGGCAACAAGCGGGTAACGTGGCAAGTCTGAAACGTGAGCACCAAGATCAAGCAACCCGTCACAACGCCTGCCTGTCAACAGCACGAGAACACGCGAGCCTTCCCAAACCACAAACATGGTCGCACACGCACGCGCACATGTACAAACTTTAGTGACTTGATCCACGGCATCTGTTCCAGTACTTCTGCAAGCACGCGTGCACCTTCGGGGCCGAGGTTGTTGCTCGAAAGGCTTTAAGCGTGTAGAATAGGCAATCAATCACAAAGTGAGAGCTTGAGAGCGGCCAGAACCAGTCAGGCGATGACAAAGGTGCAAGTGCAATTTGCACACACGCACACAGCAACGCACTACACGAGAAACCATCTACCCGTTTGCTCACGACGTAAGGACGTACGTCAGAGCAGTAAGCTTTTCCATGCTGGTGAGGGTTCCTGCGAGGTCGCGAACGCCATCAGGTCCGAGCTGGTTGCTT